ACAGGGTCGCCTACTTGAATGGAGAAATGATTTCACAAGGTGATAAGCACTACCCTGTGTGCTACGGTTAAGGTGATGAGCACAAGAGGTGATCATGGGAAGGCGAGTCCATCCTCGAAGGAGAGAAGTAGGAAGCTAGAGCCTCCTAGCACCGTTTCCTTCTCCAGCTTGATGAGTTGCATTTTCAGTTCGTAAAAATAATGCGGCCGATTTTCATTCCACCTGGTGGCAACGAGAAGACAAGTGTCGTCATTTTAATAATGGCAGGTGCCAGATAATGGATGAGGTGCACTCTCCTTTCCGTGCCCCAAAAAGATGGCGAGAAACACTACTTCTCTGTATTTTGTTTTTGTTGTCCTAGCTGACCCATGCCAGCGCGACGTGACTCTCCGCATTCTCTATCAGCTTAGCACGGAGGAGAAGTACAGAGGCCAAATTGCCTCATCCGGATGCCTTCCACTCGTGAGTAAGCGTGTATTCAATCCCATTTGTGGGACTGTGAACTGATCAAGTGTGTTAGTTGGCCAATCTTTTGGGGCGCAACGAAGCACCAATCTGAGGTCGATTTACTAGCTAAGCGTAAATCCCGCGCCTCCTCAGCGTTGTCCTCGTGTTGGGTTGCATATAGTTGTGAGACTGAGGAGATATCAGGTAGGTGTGTTTCAGTAAGGTGAGGCAGAAGGTGGATTTGCATTGGGCTGAACATCAAGTCAGTTGAGGCTTCTCGCAACACAATCAATGATTCTCTGTCCGGAAGTGGGAGTTAAAGCCAAGTTCAGTGATCTCAGTAATGCGAGGACAGCATTATTTAATGTGAATGTATGTGATCAAAGTGTGGTCGAAATGCACACAGCAGTGTTGCTTTGCAACTGCTTTCAGATAGTCAACTCCGCCTTGTTGATAGGAGGGCGCATCAGATGGACGTGAAGCCGATTTGTCGACTAGAGTCATCAGTCAAGCCGCGAAGGTGTTAGCCGACTTTTGCACACATTTGGCTCAAAGTTCAGCTGTCTCGCTCGATGTGCAAAATTCGGTAGTGCGATCGCAGTCTCAGTTCTAGTGGAAATCACATAGTAATTGGGATGTTTTGCTGTTGTGAGGTTTTTGACACTAGAGCAAAGCATTGGATGTCCATTGGCAGAATCCTTCTCCTCTCTAGCTGATGCGATCGATTTTGGGCAGCGCAGAGGACGCCCCAAATGTTGAATGCCTAGGTCTCCTCATCAATTTGGCCTGTGATCGAAGGGCAGCTCAAAGTGTTGGTGAACCACGGGGCATCCGAATGCTCTTTCGTCGTGCCTTCGCGACTCACGATCCCCTGCTCATGAAGTTGCTGAGGAACCTCTCCCACTTCGAGGAGTTGCGGGTGCATTTCGGGGTAGGAAGAAGGTCGATAGTAGGATGGGGAAGTAGGAAAAAAGCGTTTTGTGCCATGCATTGATTAACTGAGATGTTTGCAGTGAAGAAGGTAGCACTTATTGGCATTCACACCTTCCTCGTTGGTTCATTCATTCACTCACTCATCTCGAAATCGGATCAGTAGGTCTCACATCTATTCATCCACAAAATCGGCTAACCGCATAGTGGCTAATAGGTGAGGCGTGCATAAATCAGCTAAAAAGTGTGTGTGTGGACGTGTTATATGAGGTCGAAGTTTCCAATGCTGTTGCCGTCAT